ATATTAAATACAAATGTCAATAATTGTGTTTGGTAATTATATTATTCGTTACCTGTTATTTGGACTTGATATTTATACTCGATATTATTACTTGTAATAAAATTACATGTGTTAAAATTTATGTATAAAAAAAATTCAAATAGGAAGAAGTTTAAAACTAAGACATTTGGTCCATAAAATTAAGTACTCTGAATTCAAAAGATTTAACTTCAATTCAAAAGAGTTTTTACAGAAAACACCACTTATGTTAATTGCAACTAAAAACAAAAGTGTATTGTAATAAAATCTTTTACTAAGCTTATTTTTACAGGATCTAATTAGCTTTAAAGTTGGGAAGTACAAAATGTCACTCACTGTTTTCACGGAATGCATAGTTTTTATGCCTAATTTGTAATTTGTATACGAAGTTGTATCTTTTGTGGAATTTAAATAGATTCATACGCATATGAACTCATGAGTTTAATTGTGCAGCAGATACGACGACTTACAAAAATTTACTAAATAAGATATTTTTTAATGTAAAATTCTATGTATTGTTTTAAGGACTTTAAGAACTCAAAATACAAAGTTTTTCATATCAAAGCAAAACAAGAAAACAATTTTCTGAAAATAATGTTTAACAAATATAAATGTCTTCAGTTTTAGTATTTAAAGTAAACAGTGCATAGTAATTATCTTTTACGGAATGGGGGCAACTAAAACCATTCTCCATTTCCACTAGTAGTAGTGCTTTTTCTATTGTTGTTTGGAGTTGAGTTGCTCAGCCATCGCACGCCATAAGCACGCAAAGTAGCGCTGGGAGAACCAACAAAGTCAACAATTTGCGCTTTTCAGAAATTTCCGCTTAAAGTAATTGCACTTAGAGAAATACTGAATAAGAAAGGCACAAAGCCGGAATTGAAAGATGTGTTTTCAAAATAGCTTCACTGGAAGGCACAGGTACAACTTTTTACAGAAGTCACAGTTTATTATTGTTTTATTTGCTTTTGTTTCGGAACAGAGTTGTTCTCACTTAAACTAAAAGCCATTCAACCACCGGAATGATGTGGAGCATTTTGCATGCTGAACAAATATTGACATTTCAAGCTTATTCTGCTTATATAGAATAAAATTGCTTCGGTTTGCAAAAAAACTGAAAATATTAAATTTTATAAAACAAAAAATTTACAATATATTTTCAATTTTCTATAACATTTCAAAACATTATACGTATAAACATATTCAAAGATTTTGTATCATTTCAACCAGATAGCAGTATCTGCTATCTCTCTACAATTCCGTGTACTCTATTTATTAGAAATGTTCTCTTTTCTTTGATTCATTTGACTTGAAAAAAACTTATATAGTCTTTATGCAGCTCACATTGCTTTTAATACTCAAATTTTTTTTGTCCTATTTTATTTAAATAATAAAAAATATTTTCTACTTTTAATTTTGGTTAATTAAAAACTTCGTTCTCAGTTTTTTAGTTCTTAAATACTACTGTCACCTAAGTAATGTCAATCCACTGGGGCCTTTGTGAAGCTGACCTGAATAAGTACATCTAATTTTTTCTGACATTAAAATATAAAAAATGTTTTTATTTCTTATGATTATAATAAGACAAGACTTACACAAAGAAAATGCAGTTAAAAAATTGTATTTTATATAAAGTAAGACGTCAACCAATTTCAGTTGATATTAATTTTTTTAAAAAACTTAGCAAAAATTTAAAAAGACAACTTGAATTATTGTTCAGTTAAAATAAATTGTATTTAAAATTTTCTTTTAAAACTGATAAAAAACAATTTCTGCTATCATTTGTTAACCAAATTACCATACACTTGCTGAACAGATAACTTCATTCATAATATGTAGCATCGATCGGAATTGCGGGCGCTGCACATTTTTCCGATGAAATCGATCTTTCTATTTGTTTATAGTTTTTTTTCATAATTTACTTTCAAAACTGTTAATGCAACATAATATCAAATGAAATGAGAAAAGTCAAAAACATGTAATTGCTGACAATATTTTTTTATGTCTTAAATTAGTCTGAGCCGACGAGTAGACAGTACAGAGCAGACTGCTCCGCACAGACAAGGTTAAAACTAGGCGAAACTCATAAGGAATGACACAATTATTTTATAGTAACAAAACACATTTGGAATATTTAATGCGATACCGAATATTATAACGGAAAAGCTACACAGTCTGCTTCCGATAGTGTTGAGCTGTGGTCTGTTCCGATTCCTTGGACATGATGATTTAGTAATAGGTATTAGTAGAATCAGCTATTTTATGCAACTATTTTCATTACGACAAGTAGACGAGTTTATTCATTTCGGGTATTTTTCATACAAAAATTTTCAACATCAATAACATTTGCCCGATATCTCGAAAACTAAGCTTTATTAAAAATAGATTAGTGGAAAAAGTTACTCTAAATTGCTGTCTCACTACTATAATCGTGCTAGAGCTCTAAACATATATGTTACGATTAGAGTGGCAAGAGGCGGTCATTGCTAAAACACTCAAAAAGGATGACAAGAACAAATGCTAAAAGTAGAAAGAAATAAATCTCGCTGCTGCCAGCATAAATCTAAATCTTTGATAAAGCTTATTCGTGAAAAAAAGAGCTGATTTCTGACTTCTATAATCATCTGTATAATATATACACAAATTACAAAATATTACAAAGCGATCTATAGATTTCGTTTCGGATCTATATTTCATCTTTGTCAACTTCGAAAACATGTTTGATACAACATATAGGAATAAATCGGATGCTACAGCATTAATGAAATGGCCTCGAATATGCATAGAGTTCCTTTTGATTAGGTTTCTATATATCGTTATACAAACAAGAAAAAATAACAGCAACCAATAGTGGGCTTAAACACAAATATATTAAAAAATATATTAAAATTAATAGAATCTTAAGTGAATAATAATACCTGCCAACTCAAATATATGGGGAGAATTGGAATGTTAATTCTGATAACGTATAAAGAAAGCGAACACAAACATAAACCAATCTTTAAAAATATATGTTATGATCACAGTGCTTCACTCTATTCGATCCAACCTTTATGATCTTTATGATCTACAAGAAAAAAGGATGAACAAAATGGATCTTTTGTATCTAGGCTAAGATTATTTCTTTTTGTTTTATTTGAATTTATCTTATATATGCAAATAAATTTGTTAGCAAATTTAATATTTGATAAAAGCTTTTAAAATCCATTGAACTTAAAATATATAGATTTAACAAAGGGATTAAAGTTAATATGACAGTTCAATTTGATTCAATTTGATATGGAAGTTCTATATGGAAATGATGTCTTTAAATGTTTCGTCGAGTAATTCTGCTAGGAATAGGAATAGGAAATAACAGGGTACTAGCTCCCATTTGAGCAGAGCACTGCGACCATGATTGATCTTTTGTGCTACAACAGACCCTAACTGAACAAAAGACATTCCGCCTTTCGAATGAAGATCAAAATGTCGGTTGTTGAGGACTTCCTAATGTCGGAAGGTGAAAGCAATTCCCGACCCAGTGATTTCCTCCTGGCCCAGATCAAAGCTGGGCAGTCACATAGAATGTGGCTGGTTGTCTCCTCTGCCTCTAAGCAGAGTCTACAATCTATCTCTTCAGATAGGCCCATTTTGTTGAGATGGTAACGTAGCCCATGGTGACCCGTTAGATATCCCACTAGCAACCTCAACTCTGTTCTGCTGAAGGAGGATATCTTATTGTAACTATAAGGGAGAACCAGCTCTTTAGCCTGACGGTTACCTCGACTGTCGCGCCAGTAGCGACTTCTCTCGGTTGAGATCCAATCATTGATTAGAGACCTAGTTGTAATTCTGCTAAATGTGGGTAGAAGTAATTACTCACGTCAAGTCTTTCAATCTATACTTTTACATATGATATGTGAATGAGAAAAAGGAAAGAATAAGTGTAACTTATGCTTATTGCATAATTTGAGTTACAAAGACAAGTTTAAGATTGTTTAGAGAACTCATTCTATAAGTGTATAATTGGTAAACTACATACATGGGTACAAAACAATATATTCATCTAAAGATTAATTAACTAAAACCATACTGTGGATATGAACTCCAATAACCAATTAACTTCTGTTAACCAATAATACAGATAATTGTTAAGTAGCTTTGTTTGAAGGGTCCTGTTTAATACAATACATATATGTGATATTAGTTAAATATTTGATATTGGGGAAAAATGGAACATGGTAAAATTAATTTACATGTCAACATAAAAAACTGATATTAATAATTCCTTTAGATTTTTAACATTTTTGCGGCTGAATATTAGAACTGTGTTTAACCCTATCACAGTAAAAATGCAAGGTAAAATAATTCAACAGGAACATTTATTCATCATTTTATTGAATTGTTGATATAAAGTTTAAAGCTAACTATTATTCAATAAAACTTATATTCTCTAAATTTAAGATACACTGTATTTGTAAATCGATCCCTCTACTGAATTATTTACATTATAAATATTTTATCCAAGATCATTAACTTTTATGGTTTTTAATTACGAATAGAGTAGCAATTATAGCTATAGAAATTACAATTAATTTGTTTATAGACAGATAAAAATAAAAACCTGAAAAAATCATTATCAATAGTGCACTACGTATAACAATGTTCTTCAACTTTCTAAATGTTTATTTATGTTAGATTTGAAATACCCTCTCTGAAAATGTTTACGATATGTGGTAGAAATCACATACTGAGTTTTTATATTTGTTTTAGTATTTTTGTATTTGTTTAAGTACAATTATTTGCTTTCACACTCGATTGATTTATTTATTTTTACATATTTAGTTTGCCGTTTAAAAACTGATGAATCTCATTAACAATTTCTAATTAACTATTTTCAGTAGAACTTAAATAAATTTTATATAATAAAATGTGTTATAAATAATAAATAAATACTTTCAAAAAATATTGTAAATTTCATAAGCTTTTATACTGTTGCTTACCTTCACCAAAGTAATGAAAAGTTATTAGATGTTCTATATCTGAAATTTAAATTAAAAATTCAGCATAAATTAAATTTTCTACTGTATTGTAATTTTTATAATGTTATTGTAAATCATAATATTTCATAATAAGCGTAATTTACTGACGACAGTTTTATGGACTGTCCAGACTTCCTATCAACAATATGGACTTAATTTATAGTGACTTTTTTATTGTAATAAGCCATGAAAATCTTTTGCATACAAAGAGCTAGCAGACAACAAGAAAATCTAAGACCGTTATATACTCAAAGTAAAATATACAAATGCCCTATAGCACAAGCCTTTTGTGTAATATATAACTCACATTAGGGAACATTATTCACAAGAGTTCATAAATGCAAAATTGTTTTAGGTCCGTCATGAACACATCCAGACTATATTGTTGGGGGTTGTGAGTGAATCATTCGTTAACCATCATTAATGCAGTATAGTGCAAACTTTTTGTGTAAGAAAAGAAACTTCTTAAAATATAATGGGAATATATTTGTTGAGATTTGGTTAAGCACCAATAAAAGAAAAAAAGATAAGTATCCTAGGTCCATAACCTAAGAATCCTAGGAAATTTGACACTCGTGAGCAACTGAATATGATATCGCACTTAATTGTAGCAAATATTTTTTTTTGCTTACAAATACTAAACGGCATTTGCTTAGTTAGTAAATTGGGTTATAAGGAATGAAATAGTAAGAGAATTATATAGAAAACTTTGATTTAGTTTTGCGATATCAGTGAAACGAAGTCGCAGAACAATTGATCTGGATTATTGTGCGATGTCAGAAAACTAAATAGATTGGGGCTTTGATAAGAGGTATATAAATCTCTTACGTAGATCGAAAATATCTCTTTACATATAAAATCTTTTAGATCCTGTTCTATCTTCACTGAAATCATTCTATCATTAAAGTAATTTCCTATTATAGTTTCCAATCTTTTCAAATGATTTTACAAAATAAAATAATCACTAAAACAAAAAGAATGTCTAAGTATCCTATTTGCTTATAGTATTACAAGCTATGTAATCACATGATGTGGATAAGATGATTTACTGCTCGAGTATTTTATTTATAATATTTTCTGGTAAGTTTAAAAATCTAACTATTCACGAAAATAAGAAAAATGTCTGAGAGTCTGACATTTACTTATAGTAGTTCCAGCAATTAAATATGAAAATACAGACCTCGTATAGTAAATTATAGAATGAGTTTATTTTTCTTACAAAAAATATAGTAGAAATAGTGGAACTAGGAATAAAAGACGTTTAACCTTCTACCTCATTAATTTAAATGTTATAAAAAATTTTACCTACTTTACTTTTATATTGGCTTTAATATACAGTTAAGAATTTTGTGCATAAATTGTGGCATAAAAAAATATTTTTTCTTGTTATGCGATATAATGCATTTCATTTCAAATAAAACAATTTCGTACCTTTATCATACTTTATTTGCAAATACATAATTCCGTGCAATTGGAACACTTTGCATAACGCAAATACCCTGTGGCATTGTTGCATGACTACACAAACTGCAATCGTATTAAGGCTTAACATACCAACAAACCCACAGAACAACTGTCTTCAGGAAAATATTATTTTTCATTTGACTTTTACTACTGCATTTCAATTCTCTACTCATATTTTTGCGTACCGATCCAAAGCAACGAGAGTCACACATTCCGTTATGGGCATGGCCCATTCAATCTGTACGTCATGTCATATTTGGTATATAAATTTCACCTAAGACTCTTTATTTTACCATAGCACTACTATTGATTGACATGAGTTGGAAAAATAAAGGAAAAATATTTTTTTTAAAAATAAATAAATACCACATTGTAAAAATTGTTTTCAAAAAAATATTCGTTTACAAGGTTATGAACTTTTAGGGTTTTAATATATTTTTTTATATGCCACTACCACTATTTAAAAAAACAGTCATAAAATTAACATAATCGTATATATAAAAAATGTATAATTATATTAATTGTTCTGGTTATTGAAATCTTAATATTCAATTATAAATTTTGAATTGAAATCTTATCATTGTCTAAAGTATTTTATATCTTACAATTATAAAATTTATTATCTTGCTAAAGATAACATAACAGATAAAATCAGAATTTATAGACCCTGCACATACTAGTTCTCGTTAACATTAAGAAAAATAAAAAGTTCAAACAATTATATAAATATTTTTTAATTTTTTACTTGTATTTTAATATTAACTAGCTTAAGTTCAAATAAAGGTTCTGTAAGCATCCACATTAAGATCATAATAAGCCTTCCTTTGTTAATACCAGCCAAAATAAATACTGGTTATGTAAAAATGTTAAAACAATTTTTTTTTTTTGTAAATATAAATCACACTACTAATATATAGTTTTTTTTAAAAATAGATTTTTAGGTTTTCTCAACTACAATACCAACATTATAAGATGTTGTCTAAGGCAGGACTGTCCAAAGCACGGTTTTTAATCTACTACAATTGTGCAAATTTTCTTTTGGTGTACTGGTAAAACTACATAATTTTATTTTTATGGTATACCAAATAAATTAATTAAAATTGATAATTAATAAAATTAAATTTAACATTATAACGGTATTTTTATTTTTATCAAAAACAACTATTATATAAAGGTATGTATTGGTTTTTGCGAACCTCCAATCTGTACACTGATTTGTATTGGCCCGCGATCGTATCTGGTCTGGACAGCCCTGGTCTAAGGTACTGTATTCAATTTTTATGCTTTTTTGTAGAACGATTACATTTTAGCCTTAAAATATGAGATTTGTTTCGAATTCCTATAGACTTCTTTTAGGGTTCAAATATTTATATGCTTTTCTCATGCAACAGTTTAACTTTAACTTTATAATAGATGTTCTATTCCTTTACTTAAAATCACTTAACATGGAGAATTTACTTCATTTATCCAATTTATTTTTCATTTCTCCAATTATATTCCAGCACCAACGAAAGTTTGCGCTTGTGGTTGCTTTTGGCAATTTTTACCTATTTCTCTTAGCCCAGTTGACTGCCGGTAATTTCTTCCTTTCGCCGCTTTGATTGCTAATATTTAGAGATATATGCATATCTCATTATTTCTTACATATTAATACAAAAACAGTACAAAACAAAATTCAAAAACATCCACACGTATTTTTTTTAGACAATATAAAATGCAAAACCAGCTGCAAGTGCTTGTCAACTAGTGACTCCGGCAAATTCTCAAAATCCGCTGTCCGGAAAGAACATCTAACATCGAATTATGGAATACAACAAACCAACCCCAAGTTACAAAGGAGATAACAAAATGCAAATGGTACGGGATCGAGCAGATACTTTGACACCGTATAATATAATAAGGCAAGCACCTCGAACCCACAAAGTAGTCGGTGACCCGGTGCACCAGCAGAAACAAAGCGGAGAACAATTGAAAAAGAATTAAAAGATGCAGGATTTAAATTGATGGTGGAGGCCCTATGCTCCTGAAATTCAGGAAATCAGTAATAATAGTAGTCGCGAACATTTTTCACAATTGCATCGCTGATGTCATCAGGCTTGACCTACACAAAAATTAACCAGAATTCAAGTTATGCGAAAGTATCCCTTAAAAACTAATAACTGTGGCAATATTTTTTTTCTTGAGGGCGTATTGTGAACTCCGGACCAAGACAAATCTGTATACTTTCTTTGCTCTTATTTAACATTGTCTTCTATGTCGTTATGTTATCAGCAATCGTCTTGATCTGCAGATGAGATGTGCTGGATGTCTCACAGCTTCACTCAAATTTAAGAATCTTCAAGAAATTAAATCAAAAATTTAATTAAATTAAGTTACCACAGATTCAAGCATTACATAGGAAACCCAAGCATCAAGGATTTAAATTGTATCTGTTACTTAGGTATCCATATTTCGAGAGACGGCGGCAGTAATCAGCATAAAAAAACAGACTAACAATATGAAGTACTACAAACTTCATATTTGTAGAATTGTTGGGTAATCTGCAAAGTGCTTTTCAATAATCTCGGGAAGATAGCGGTAGCTTATATTAATTACATATATTTTCAACCACACTGACTGGACTGAAATCAATTGTCTACACAAACAACCAATCAAACAGTTGATAACTGCGATGTAGCATCGAAATCGTACAAAAGTGCTAAATGACTCACTGACTAAATGAACTTTATTTTTTCCATTATTGCACAAACACCTCAACTAGCGACATTGCAAAAACTTTAACTTAATAATCAGAATTATCCAATGTAGCCCTTGAATGTCGCGACTTTCTAAAAATCATAAATATATATGTATTTTGTATGAGAAGCATTACCTGATGAAGGGACAGGGCACAGTTCAAACATTGATAATAAATGTTCCCTTATTTCAAATTATTTTTTCTCATTCGATTGCTGTTTTTATTTTACGGTACCCCAAAATAATGTCTTAACTTTTTACAGAATTTTGCGATTTTTTATACTTTGTAAATATAATTGAAGCCTGTAATTTTTTTAACTAAAAGCATACATGAATGCTTTAATTCGCTGGTATATAGGAGTATTATTATTATATTGTATTATTGCTGATTATATGTCGCAAAGCTATTCATCCCCATCGAAAAAGTATTCAGTTTCATGTATGACAAATCAAAGTTTCACGTTTCTTTTTCAGATACTGTAGTCTCAGTCTCTATCTCAGTAGCAGTGCCAGTCGCATCGCATATTTTTGTAATAATTTTATTTTTGGTTCAGTCTGATTGGCGTCCTAAACTATATGGCCAAATGTTAGATGGTGAGCTTTTCGTGTGGGTGTCGGTTCATGCGATTGACATGAAAATATGTAAATGTGCCAGTTTTTTTAAATTAAAGTGAACAAAAATATTATGTACTACTTTAGAGTTTGTGTTAAAATCTCCACACGAAAGCAACTAAAACACAACATCAACTTTTCACTATCACAAAAACAAAAAATTTATAAATTTCATTTTTTTTGTAAAT